TTTGCTAAATCACACGTATTTTACGAGTTCGTAAATTCGATTTATTCGATAAAGTCAATTTGTAAGAATTTGTACGAGTTACCTACATCTAACCCCGTCCCTAAACCTACCCGTCACTGGGGTTTAGACAAATCGTACAAAATTGTACGAGTGAGGTCGTACAAATTCGTACGAATTAGCCACCTCGTAAAATACGTACGAATTGGTTGTGAGATAGCGTTGTCTATCACTGTCCACAGCTTCACACAGCACCCTCCCACAAACTTAATTAGTGGTACAATGATGGTAATGGTACATACAGTACATACAACAGCATGCTATGAATGCCCAAAAGCTGCATAATACTAAAGCAGGGTTTAAAGTCAGAAAATCGTTAAGTCTGTGGCGATCTGAATGAGGAAGGAAAAAAGCAAAGAACATGTGAGCGGAGGGTCATGAAAGAGCTTTAACAGGGAAAAATGATTCACAGGTATAAGATTTCCCATTAGAGTCTGCTAATTATTTCCACACCATTAGTGGCAGCTCTCTAATGAGGGACACGAGCAGACTGCAGTATATCACAGCACTCTGCTCTCCTCTGCAGGGCTCCTGTTAGGGGGTCGGGGTAATAGCCCCCCTCCTTATGCCCTCTTAACCCACAGGGGCACAGAGGGGCAAGAGCGAAGGGCATGCTCAAATCACCACAATATTCCTTTCTGATTGAATTTCTGCTGAAATAGATGTCGAGGCGGACTCACTGCTGTAATATGAAATGTTTGGCAGGGGCTGTTCTGATGTTAGATGTAAGAGAAGGTTTCCATTAATTTGGTAAATATGGGAACTCAAACCCCTGATGCTCATTTTTTTTGTGTCACGGTCTATAAACACATTTCTTTTATGTTTTCATGAAATGGAAAATATCAAGTTAGTACAACTGTCCTGAGAATTTAACTGCCAAAAATTCTCAACAAAACCAATTTTTTGAAAAAGTAGAAACTGTTTCATTTTAAGAAATATTTTGAAAAACTAAACTCAGTAAAATAAAGACTATGTCAGTGTCTTTTAACAGACACGTTGGATATTCTACCCCCAAAAATATTAGAGCTTAGCATACAGGTGCATCTCAATAAATACTTGTTTAAAAAAATGGTATAAAAGATTTTCAAAGAACAAAACCAACATGAACAAATTTTCCCCTCCATTGACTCATAAAGAGAACAGAACTTAAAAAAGCACAAATTTTATTCAAGTATGAAAGCAGTACATTGTGCAGTTATAACAGCGTCTAAAGAACCTACAGATTGGAAAAATCAGGGTTAAACACAGCAAAGAGAACAAGTATTGCAGCCAACAATTTCCAAAGTTTCCAATACAGTACAGAGATAAAAACACTCCCTCTGAAAAATTATACATTTAAAACAATGCAAACTTAAGGATTTCATGTAGACAACTCATAACGGTCTACTCAAATTGAACCTGCAGCAGGCTTAAGGGGTTAAAGCTCTGAAAATCACACATAATTAAGACACTTGAGGACGACGTCAGTTATGGTTGGACTCCGCCGAACATGGCAACCATTTTATTCACTTTCCTCCAGTTCCTTCTTTAAACTGTGGAGAAAGGTCAGAGGTCACGGTCACACTTTCATAGATTCACCCGAAAGCCAAGTGACTGACAAAACATCAAAAATAACTCCCAAAATTTAGTGAGTAGTGTACATAAAACAGCTACGATGCTTTAAAATGCAGTCTAGATAGGCAGCACATACACTACAAGTTTTTGAACAGTAAGATTTTTTATGTGTTTTTTTTTTATAATTCTCGTCTGCTCACCAAGCCTGCATTTATTTGATCCAAAATACCGCAAAAGCCAAAGAGAACAAGTATTGCAGCCAACAATTTCCAAAGTTTCCAATACAGTACAGAGATAAAAACACTCCCTCTGAAAAATTATACATTTAAAACAATGCAAACTTAAGGATTTCATGTAGACAACTCATAACGGTCTACTCAAATTGAACCTGCAGCAGGCTTAAGGGGTTAAAGCTCTGAAAATCACACATAATTAAGACACTTGAGACGTACGTCAGTTATGGTTGGACTCCGCCGAACATGGCAACCATTTTATTCACTTTCCTCCAGTTCCTTCTTTAAACTGTGGAGAAAGGTCAGAGGTCACGGTCACACTTTCATAGATTCACCCGAAAGCCAAGTGACTGACAAAACATGAAAAATAACTCCCAAAATTTAGTGAGTAGTGTACATAAATCAGCTACGATGCTTTAAAATGCAGTCTAGATAGGCAGCACATACACTACAAGTTTTTGAACAGTAAGATTTTTAATGTTTTTTTTTTTTATAATTCTCGTCTGCTTACCAAGCCTGCATTTATTTGATCCAAAATACCGCAAAAGCAGTAATATTGTGAAACATTTGACCATTTTAATTTACTTTTCTATTTGAATATATTGTAAAATGTAATTTATTTTTGTGAGTAAAGCTGGATTTTCAGCATCATTACTGCAGTCTGCTGTCACATGATCCTTCAGAAATCATACTAATATGCCGATTTACTGTTCAATAAACTTTTTCATTATCATCAATATTAAAGAAAGTAGAGTACATTTTTCTTTCCCTCAGGATTCTTTGAATAGAAAGATCAGCATTTATCTGAAATAAAAAGCTTTTGTAATATAATACACTATACCTTTCAAAAGCTTGGAGTCAGTACAATTGTTTTGGGAAAGAAATTATAGAAATTAATACTTTTAGCAAGGATGCTTTAAATTGATCAAAAGTGATAAAGACATTTATAATGTTACAAAAGATATTTCAGAAATGCTTTTCTAAACTTTCTATTCAAAGAAACCTGAAAAAACAAACAAACAAACAAAAAAAAATCAGCATATCAGATTGATTTCTGAAGGATCATGAGACACTGAAGACTGGAGTAATGATGCTGAAAATTCAGCTGCGCATCACAGAAATAAATTACATTTTAAAATCTATCCAAATAGAAAGCAGTAATTTTAAATAGTAAAAATATTTCAAAGTTTTACTGCTTTTGCTGTACCTTGGGTCAAATAAATGCAGACTTTGAGAACAGAAGAAAAAAAAAAAAAATGTTTTATATATATATATTCTTAGCGTTCAAATACGTTTGACTGGTAGTGTAGATTTTTGGAACACAGCTGCATATTTATAGTTACAGCATTCATATTATAGTGCAACAAAAATTAAGTTACTACAAAATCCCATTACCTTTTCAGATAGGAGTGGACATTATCATAGCCGTGGTATTTGGCCAGGTACACGAGCACACCTGTAGCACAGCGGCCCTCTCTGGCACGGCAGAAACTGCAGTTACAGATGCCCCTGCACGGGGGGCAAAGCCACTCCTAGAAGAAAACAACAACATTTCAGCAACACCATCCAACCGTTTAGAAAAATGCTAGCTGATCTGGGGTGTGTTCAAAGCCACTAGAAACCAGAGGCCGTTTTTTTTTTTTTTTAATGGACGTCAATGGAGGAGAGACTTCACTACGCTGAATAAACAGCTTATCATTTAATGAATCAACAGCCTATCTGCTAATCTTCAATACGTTTTACACTAAACAATACTTTTGGATTGAACTATTTTTAGAGTTTACCACGTAAAAAAAATGCCATTTTATAAGAGAAGTCACTGACTTTTTGCGACAGGTGGGATTCAG